ATAGGGTCATTATTTAGAATTCGTAGAATTCGCGCATTTCAGTATACATAAATATTTGATTTCTTGTAGGTAAAATTGAGTTTGAATTTCGTCGAATTTAATTTTTTTCTCAAATGCCAGCTGCTACTTCCTCACCTGAAAGTGGAAGGTCTTGTGATCCACGGTGATGGTGAACGTGTTATCCTCCTGGTCATCTATCCCGATCAGGGCATCCTTCAAGCGCACACAGCCACGTCTCACGCCCTTCATCATCTTCTCCTTCGACTGGAATAAAACAGCGATTGAAATTGAGTGGAATTATTAAGTGTCGGCTCAACGGTTTAATTTAAGAATTCAAATAGGCAGTGGATAAGGAATAAAAGCAATGGTCGCGGCACGGCTCGCATTTAAAAGTGCGTCAGCGCTGCGGGTCGACACAACGAACAGAGTTCTGGAGCCTAGGGCCCAACGGCAACGAAGAAACCCTTTAAAAGGAGCAACATGGAGGCGGCAACAAGTGAGCTTCTATTGATCAGTTTTGGGGCAATGTGTCAAGTAGAATTGCAGGTGCTAGTCGAGTGCCTGCGGTGGTGCATCCCGCCGTGATGTCCGATCCCTGGTTCATGCTTGCCGTTCTGGGAGTCTATCTGTACTTTGTCACCGTTGTGGGTCCACAGTAAGTATACTGAACTTCGATTGCTTGGGGTTTACTAATTGGAATGGCATTAGCAATTCTGAAGCCTTGCTTTACGGTGACTAAAATCTTTTTCTCACGTAAAGGTTTATGGAATTTCGGAAGGCTTATAAACTCAAGAAACTGATAATGGCGCACAATCTGATTCAGGTGGTGTCCTGTCTATATGTCCTCAAAGAGGTTGGTAAATGAGACTAAACAGGATAATCTAATTGCTAAGGAACGTCCCTCTCCTCGAATGCTAGGTGTTCTTCATTACGGATAATGCAGTCCAGTACTTCTGGGAGTGTAGGGATTTCGGGAAGAGTCAGGAACACGTGCGCCGTCACTTCGAGCTGGCCCACTTTCTCTTCTGGCTGAAGCTCTCCGAGCTAATAGAAACCGTGATATTTGTGCTACGCAGGAAGCAGAACCAGGTGTCAAAGCTGCACATCTTCCATCACATCACCACGGTGACACTGGTGTATGTGCTGTTGCACTTCAATGAAAACGGTAAGGGGATCCAGATAGGCATGATCTGTGTACTAATTTTATCCACACGCAGGCACAGCTGCCTACTTCTGCGTCTTCCTTAACTCGATTGTCCACATCTGCATGTACACATATTACTTTGTGGCGGCGGTGGCCGACAAGGACTTTGTGCGATCACTGAGGCCCATTAAAAAGTGCATCACGGTGATGCAAATGACGCAGTTCGCCTTTATCCTCACTCAGGTGGTGTTCCAGCTGGTACTATGCGGCATTCCGGCCTTTGCGCTGTGCTACTACACCGGTGTCATCGCGGCCATGTTCTACGGCTTCTATGACTTCTACCAGACCTCCTACCAGAAAAATAAGCGCCACAAGAGTCTAACGACGCCCAACTAAGCCCTCAATTGGGTACAATCTTTAAATAAAGGCCAACGAGCCACCAACAACTGTGTGTGTGCTTGTGTGTATCCGTATCCAAACATATCTAGCTGGCGCAGATAAGATAAGGGTGTCGCTGGGTGCGATAAGGAAGGGTTAGTAATGGAGGCACTGCACCCACTTACCGTGTAGTAGGAGAGCAGGCCGGCGTTCTCGTCCAGCACAAAGAATCGGTACTGCCAGCCCTTCATCACGTTGGTCCACTTGCTCAGCGTGCCCTCCAACGTGCCGGGACTGGCACTGAGCCCGGTAGCACCTCCGCTCGCGCTGCCAGCTCCCAGGCTGGGCGCACTGCCAGTGGTGCTGGCCATGTCCTCCAAGTCCCGCGACTCCGCCACGGTCTCCTCCTCCGTTCCTCCACCGACCTCGTTTATGTCGCCGGGAGCGTTCCGTGCCGTTGGCGTGTGCGTGCCGCGTTCCAGGAGCAATCCTAGTCCAGGAATAGGTGATGACGCAATGCTGCTCCACGAACTCGCACCACAATCAAGTCTCCAGCTTAAATTTTGCAAAACAAAAACAATCACTCACGGAACAACGATGTAGAATGGGAAATGTTAAATGTAGGAATGGGGTAAAATTATCAATCGGTATGTAGGAATGGGGTAGAAACCATGTATAAACGGTACCAAAAGTAGAAATTTTGCAAAACAAAGTGATTCTAGAGCTGGCCAGCCATCGATGGCACTATCGATAGCGATGGTCTGGCTCTAGCCGGCACGTATCGATTGTTTCTTTAATCGGTAGTGGAAAAATTTGTATTACAAAATACAATAATAAAATATTTAATTTTTAAAGTATTATCCATTCTATATATACTTTTTTCAACCACGATTTTTAACTCTCCCTGTTATGATGATAGTTTGGCTGATCAGAGGGGATTATTTAAGTGTATCGATAATGTACTAGTGTGCGCCCCATTTAAAAATTTTAATTCAAAATTTTTTGACCAATGGGAAAAATGTATTTCTTTGGAATTCTTTGAAAATATATATATGAAATAACCATGACATATATAACTCATTCCGATACATAAACCAATGTTTTATTCGCTGCCTTTCAAAACAAATGAATTAAGTTTCTAATGAACAGCACCAACTAAAAACTAGAAGACTTAGCGCTAAATAACAACTATAAGCTACGGCTTGGGGCAGGGCGCATCTTTTGGTGTCAAGCACTTAATTAAGCTAGCAATGCATCCGAAGGCGGATCCTAGCCCGCGAAGAAGCACCTGTAGAGCATATAGAGGATGCCGAAGATCCAAATTCCCTTGTACACCTTGTCTACAACCCACATGCTGGAATAGATAGAGATCGGAATCAGTACTGAGGTTGCTTTGGAAGATATATCTATACTTACACCTTCATGTGCCGCCTGGCTGCCGGAATGGACTCGTCCGATTCCTTTAGGATTAGACGACGGGCGCAGAGGACACAGTTGGTGAAATAGTCGATCAAGTCGAGTTCGATCTTCTCTATCACGTAGGTTCGCCGCTCTTTATTGTTCATTAGTTTTCTCAGCTTCACCGCCTCCGTGTTGTCAAAATTCCACACGTTGTTCGCATAATATTCAAACACCTCAAATCCCTTGAAAATCCGGTTCTGGACCCGGCACAGTACGGGCGGATAGCGAAGCAGCCAGAGCAGGGCATCCACAAAGAGGGCTGGCATCCACTGAAACAGTACCATGCAGACGCAGTGCACCCAGTAGTTGGACTTCATGGAGCCTCCTGGATACCAGGCCACGCCGTTCAGCGGCACCTTGTTCTCGATCACCCAGCGTCCCAGCTCAATGATTTCCGCCCAGGACACCTTGATGTCGTTGGAGGAGGTCATGTGGGCCACCCGATTGGTGGTATCGGTGCCAGCCGTGATATTACGCCAGCTGGCCACCAGGATGCCGTTCACCGCCACGTCTACGGGCAGGAAGTCACCGTAGCCCGAGGAGTTGCAGTACATGGTGCGGATGACACCCTTTCCGGCTCCAATTAGCAATCCAGTGGGTCCGTTGATGTTGTCCGTCCAGCCGGGAATGGGCTCCTTCCAGATGGGGATCACGATCGAGGGCCGGAGAATCACGGCCGGCAATTGGTCGAACTTCTCCACCACCAGTGCCTCCGCCAACGACTTTGTGTAGGCGTACGTGTTTGGTATGTCACCAAGCACCTTGCGCTCAATGGTGGCCACTTCGTCGTCTGTCAGCCACTCGCAGGCCTGCATCACCTTGTGCGGATTTGCTGGGGATCGTAAGGCTTCTCGTACAGAGTCTTTACGTGCAAATGGCAATAGGCTGTGGAGCAATAGGCGAAGAAGTCCAGATGCTTTAGAGTCTGGGCCAGATCCAACATGTACTTGGTGCCACGAGTGTTCATGAACACGGCGTTGCGAAGAGGTTCGTCGAAGCTGGAGGTAGTTAGGGAGTTATGGTTATGGATTTCTTAATATATTTTTAATTTGAATAAGAAAGGAAATTAATTGAATATATATACTCTTGTAATTTACAATTGAATTATAGAATTGACCGAATATCGATCAAAGCTAAGCTTCTTTGAAAAGAGATTTATCAATATTTTTATATGACAATTTTTTTTCGACAATCAAAGTTTTAAAAAAGCTAAACTTAGCCAAAAATGCATTAATTTTAATTCGGAAAACTTTCCAATGCTAGTTTTTATTAGGTCAAAAGTGTGCATATGCATTTTCATTTAAAAAAAATTAAATTTTTCCAATTGTTGATAATTTTAACAATGTAACACATTATAAATGTTTGAAATTAAAAAAAAAAATGTTTGGAAATTTTATTTTAACCGGAGATGGCTAGATCGGCTCAGCTGTTGATGCTGATTAATAATATATATGATTTATAGGGTAGGAAATGACTCTTTATATTGGTACAAGCTTCTGACTAAAACTATAATACTCTGCAAGGGTATAAAACTATTATTGTATTTTTTAAGATTTAAATAGATTTAAAAACTGTAATCTGTTACTATATTTGCTAAAAATTTCATAGCATGAATATTTTTGTTTATCTTTCTTTAATTTCAAATAAAGAATTCAAGTTAAGATAATTAAATATTTCATAAAAGCCACGTAACTTACCGCACTGTAGCCGCGCAGTGGTAAACAATGGAGACCTCCTGGCGCAGAGTCTCCAGATCCTTCTCAGAGATGCCCAGGCCCGGAGAAGACGTCCCCGGCTATGGCCACCACCTGCTGCAGGATGTGCTCCTCGCGCGCAGCTGCTTCACCTGGTCGAAAAGCTACAAACACACACATAAGAGCGTTCCAAGTTCATTAATATCGTAAGGCGGGCAATAAGTTCTCATGATTCTCATAATTTCTAAAGCCCCCTGCTTACCACATTCTGGAATATATCCTTGATGCGCTCCTGCGGTCCTTGCCCTTCTGGGGCGAATTAGCAGATAAATGCGCTTAAGGCCGCCACACGACCTGCACGAATTAATAATATTGCATAAGCGAACGGTCAATTGGGATTAATGGAGGCCACGCATGGACCAGCTGGCTAGCGCCCCGCCCAGCTAAGGTCAGCTCCGCCCACTCACCGTAGCAGCTTCTCAACCAGGACCTTGCCCAGGAATCCAGTGCCGCCGGTAATGAACAGACTGCGTCCCTTGAAGCACTCCGCAATCCGATCCACCTCATTGTCGTCCACCTCACCTATGGTGCCCAGGTCATCCTTTTCATAAACAAACTTTGGTTTGGCAGTCATCTTTGATGGCTTCTGGAGATACATAAATAAATATTTCATTAATATTAATACAAAAGCATTAGAACCTGCATAGTTTTTGTGGCTCTAGCGGATTTTTCAAGGGAATGATTCGAATATTTGAAGTACACCCACATTATTTAGAGTTTACCATGATTATGCATTAATTGTGTAGGTAAAAAATGATTTCTAGTGTTGACATTGTTATAATTTTCGCTTGTGCAGTTATGGTTCGAGCACGTAACGACCGTCGCCGTCTCCGCCAAGTGCACTTTAATTTCATTGATCTTGGTTGTAAGTTGTCCGAGCCACATATGAGGCAACCAGGCAACCAGTACCAGTTGGCCTGCGGAGCGACAATTGCAGATCGGATTAGGCCATGCTTGGCCTACTGGCCAACCAACTGGCTGACTGGGTTTCTGAGTGTCAACGCAGTGACCATCGCGTCGAGTGGGCAAGCGGAGCGACACCAATTTCATGTTACGGCACCAATTAAAACATTGCAAAATCAGTGTCCGAGCCGCAGGTCTTGGATATCTCGCCATGAGCTTGTCGCAAGCGCTGGAGCATGCCCAACGCACCCCATTGGCTTGGTGTCCTTCGGTTTCCATTTCAGTTATAGCTCCAGGTCTACTTCCAGTTCCTACTCCACCAATCCGCTAAGTAAACTTGATTGAAAGCCGTTTGTCCGCTGACACATTGACCTGCATCCGACGAATACGCCTTGCTATTAGAAGGCGTGGACTTGGACCTGGGTTAACAGGCTGGACTGGCACCTATAATCTTCTGGCTGATCATGGGCAGCCGCTCCATGAGATGAGGCGACAATTGAAACTGAAACCGGAGATCGCTGTTGTCTGGCCATAAACACTAAACATTAAAGTGCGACTATAATTTCATTGGTACACTGTGGGGAAAATAGTTACATAGTTCAGACTGGTTTTAACTTAAAACACGCCCTGATAGGTGGAGGGAAATGAAACCGAGTCGTCTTTGTTTAAAATTTTATAGTCCAGTTCTACAGAATTTAATTATATTACAGGAAATGAATAGTGTTTATTATAAAGTTGATATATTCTTGATCACTTTGAAGGCGATAAAGATTTCAGGGGAACTTTGATGTATAGAGAATTGAAATTTGGAATGCAAATGCATTCTTAGCTAAAGCAATATTAACTCTTGTTTTAATATAACACAAGAAATATTTTATTCCAATCACTTAACAAAATGTTAATGCTATTGTTTAAATAACAAACTAAAGAATAGACCAGGAACGAATTAATAAAAGTTAAAGTTAGAAAACTACGTTTTAAAATTATCATATCAATTAGTAGTGTACACTCTTATTTAAATGTTCTTGTTTATAATATGTTAAATTTAATCTGTATTTGTTTTTTCTGACTTTAAACATCTCATATATTTTTGCTGTGTAATTTGTATGGCCAACCAACAGTGGCTGAATGTCTTGGGCCCAAATTAAAAGCGCTAATCGCTATAGCATTGGGACAAGAATGGAAAGCCTGCGGCCAGATCGGAGCCATTAAGCCTAGTTCATTGCTGAGAGACCATAAATTCAATTTGATGCCAAAGACTGCAGCAGCGAACGTGTTTTTGAAAGTGAAATTTCGGAATCTGGCTCGGCACAGGGCAGACATGTGTTAAACCCGGCCAGGAGATTGCCTCACAGCTCAGCTTAGCCCGTTTGACCCGCTTATCTTGGCAGTACAGCAGCACAGCAGCACACTCAATCTGCCACAGCGGCAATAATTGCCATTTCGAGATCAGAGCTTTGGCATCAAAACCCCCCTTAAGGCCCGACCAAACACCGATAAAACGATTCCCGGATAACTGCCAGTCATGGGAACCACCACAATTTATATAGCACTTGACGCCGAGATGCATGCCTGGCGACAGCTGCACTCGCTGGAGAAGAATGGGGGACCAGGTGGAGCCTGAATTTCCCAGTTTCCCAATTGAGAAATTGCCAAAAAAAAATATAAATGCCTTCTGCTACATGGAGCGGCTTTTTTCTTCTGGAGGCTAACCAGTTTCGAGCAGGCACAGATGTCAACAAAGCGATAATAAAATCAAAGAGTGCATTAAGTAGAGAAATAGTCACGAAGTCATGGATGAATTTCTGTTGCAAAATCGATAGATACAGATACATATACAGATGCAGCCAAGGACTTTTCCTTGAGACTTCATCGCTTCATTGATTTTAAGCTCATTAAAATAAATCCATAAACATAGGCAAAGAGCCTTGGACTGCGTCTTAATCAGATGAATGTTGGGCTCGCTTCATTGAGAAGCTGTTAACAAACTTTAGTGGCACTCTAAACGCTTTTCGGTTCGAGCTTCTGTTTTAATTAACTGCTTAACATATTGGCTATTTTTCGCACCTTCACTTGGCAACAGCGGCAGACCCTTTCTCAGGCAGATTGATCGATGCACGGATATCAAGATAGTTTTTGAGCCGCAGATACTTTCGGCTGACCCGCGCTCACCGAATGCTAAACACAAACTGATCGGACCTGGCTGCGGAACTAACGAAAAGAGGCTTGCAAACTCAAAACAAACCTAATGGAAAATAAAACGAAAACGACTTCAGGCCAAACTATGTATATCGCATCGGCGTCGGCTAGCTGGGATTCGAGAGATCTCTCGGAAACTAGCTGCTATGCCAGTGCAGCGGGGCGGGAGCGAGACTCGAGCAGTGACACACACGAACCCGGGCCAAACCTGGCCAGCATTGAGCAGGGGGCTTCCCCCCCTGAAAACCCACCTGGCCCCGCTTAACCCCTTCGAGGTAACAACGGTCAGGGGTTGGACTACTACTGTGCGATGTGTTCTCACTCTAAGTTAACGATCTCCGCTTAGTAGTTTTGCTCACCTGTGTTACTACGGAACCTCTTTGCTTGCTCATCTTTATTATCATCTCAGAGCAGTTGCACTTGGCACATGATGCAACTGCAACTGCAACTGGAGGTGAATCCATAAATTGAATTGAAATCACTGCGCGTTACGCATACGCAGTGTGTGCACCCGAATTAGGGAAATCATTCAGGCAGAGGGGAATGGGGGTTAACACTGCCCTGCCATTAAGGCCACCGAACCGGATCGGCGGATAGGTTGGTCGCTGGGTGGGTGTAACGGCGAAAAGTGGAAAAGTAAGCCTGCTTTATGGCACACACATAAATCCCCATTGCGCGCCGGCCATTAATTAGACGCAGTCGGACCTTGTTAGTTACAGTTGTTGCTCAGCGGATGAATTTGAATCCGAATCCGAATCGGAATCGCAGCGCCGAAGCATGGCCAGAAAGAGGAGCTAGCGACAATTTGACAATGGCATTGACATCGAAACATCGTCGGAGTCGCAGACGGAGTAGCAGTTACTTTATTGGCCAGCTTTATTTTCTGCCAGGGCTGAGGCTAATCGAACTAATCGAACTCACACGAGTGGAGGTGGAATAGAGGAGTAACAGCATCATCAGCCGTTAGCCTGACCTTTGGCCAACTCACCTGACCCTCTGCTTGCCAAAAATAATCCATGGGCTTTGTATTTTAAATACAATTTAAAGTGATTATGGTGTGTCTCATGGAGCTAGAAATGTCTAGGATGTTTGGATCTAGGGTAAGCTTTTCGCTTTTTATTTGAAATTAATGTATAGCAATGTTTTTAAATTCAAAATGTAGCACCAGAATGGAGTATTTTTTATAACAAAATCAAAGATTTATTGAGTTTACTAGGCGGTTAGCATGTCTGGGATGGTGAGGAGAAGGAAAACCTATAGAAAAATATCGCATCCTTTTATACAACTCCACTAAACCTTGCTTACTCATTCAAAATTAAAACAAATTGGTTCCCATGAAGTATAGAAATTGGTTTAAATCCAAAAATTAGCATGACAAAGAAGATTTAACATTACGAAATCGTAGGTTTATTTATAATCTAGAAGGAGCAAGATCATAACGCTTTGTGGCCCAGTCAATGGCAGACTCTTTAAAATATGCAAACCATTTGTAACTGGGCGACTGGCACACGTCTCGAGTGTGTCTTGGCCTGGTCAACAAACCCAAACCGCTTTGAACTTGAGCTGGCCTCAGCAACTCACATCTTTCTCAGCTGTTTCTCTGTTTTCCGCAGCTACATATTTATGCAAATGAAGCCAAACCGATGGACGATATTATCGAACGTGTTTGTATTGATTTTGGGCGATCGTTAAGAGCGCATCCGAGACAATAAACTTGGCGACAACAAGCCCAGTCGAGTGACTTGGCAAACTGACACATTTCTGGCCAGTCATGCGTGGTAGGTAATAGTGCCTACCATTGATGGAACTCCTCAGTCCGTCCGAGACTGGTCTTCGTCTCTCTTTGAAACTTTGGCCGTAATTACAGACTTCCGCCTTTGAACAGTTTCGCAGCCCCACCCCAGAGGCGAGGCTCTGAGGAAGCTGGAGGGGATGGGGCCTGGACTGGGGCATGGGTGATGATGAGACGCCAGAGGCGCCACAATGTATCCCGTTACAGGTTACAGGGCCATAAAGCGCCATAAACGCCTCTCGCGACGGCAAGGGCAAATTATAACGCATACGGACACGTAGTCGATCCACTTTCCCGCCGGCTAATTGGACGTGCCCGGCCTGGCTGCCCCCTGCTCTTTGTTTTTTATCCTTACTCCTGTTGCTACTCCTGCTGCGGCTTAAAAGTGGGCGTAACATAACAATTGTGGGCGATTTGCATACAATTTAGTGCTCGAGTGGCCAGCAAACTGGCGACGAAATGTTGCCACGTCACTAGTGTTGCTTTGTTGGCCGCCTAATAAGCCAACATGAATGCCTGGCTGAATTCCAGCCTTTTGTCCCGCTGACAGCGGCCCTGACAGCAGCCACAACAAACCTATCAGCGGCCAGGCAGACTGACTGACCAGTGTCAAGGTTTTTTGTGTGTGTATTATTTTTGTTTCGTTTTTGCTAATCTAAGGCCCTGTGACTAGCAGTTTAAATACGGAAAAACTGCAGTGGTAACAACACAAAGCCAAAGGAAAGGCAAACAATGCCCCGCACAGCAACATGTTGCTGCAGCACTTGTTGCGCGCGCCCACACAGCAGCCACAGGAAAAGAACAGCAGCAGCAGCAGCAGCAGCAGCAGAAGCAGCAGCAACAGCAGCAGCAGCAGCAGAGGTTTGGCGTCTCTTGCCATTGTTGCCACAAAAGGACAGCATATAAAACAGGATGTTTCGGCAAACATTCGCCCAGAACAATTTCACATTCGTCCGGGCAACAAGTGTGTGTTAGAGTGCGAGTGGGCACCCAAAAAAAAAAAAAAAACAGTTTATCCCGATTTTGACCTTATCCTAGATCTTAAAGTTTCTAAAGGTGAGTTTACTGAAACGATTTATTTGAAAAATTGCAAGCGAATACATCAAGTTAATATAAATATTAAGTGGAAACAATCATAAAATGTGTAAATTATGCAATTTAAAGTCGATTTTGTACAATTTAAATGTACAGTTTGTATAGTAAATTAGTTATATAGTATAATGTTTATTTGACAAAAAGGTTTTTACATTCGACTTTGTGTTTTTTGTAAGCTAAACTTTGAATAATTAAAGTTCACTTAAACAGGTTTCAGATTCTTTAATTGTTTTTGAAATTGTTTGAAAATTTATTATATAAAGCTGACAGCAATTTGGGTTTTAGTTAGAACAACTTTATTATGACAGGGTTGACCCTTATTAATAGTTACTAAAAACCTATTCCTCACTATGCAAATATTTGTTAAATATAGTAAGTTAATATGTTTATTTTATGTCAAGAGATGGTTGCATACAAATTCAAATAATATGATTTAATGGTGTCTAAAAGTTTGTTACAATTTATTAACGGAGAAGGTTTTATTATATTTCATGATATTCTTAAAAAACTGTATGTTGCTAGCTTGTGAAGGAGTTATTTCCGACCCTATTAACCATATACATATATTATTGATCAGCATCAACAGCTGAGTCGATATTGCCATCTCCGGTTAAAAAATGCATTTTCGAAATTTAAAATGTAAAAAAAGATAAGGGGTTACATCGTTAAAATTTTCAAAAATTGATAAAAAATTTAAATTCTTAACATTATAAATTGAGTATGCAGATTTATAAACCCAACAAAAACTAACATGGGACAGTTTTCAGAATTGAAATTAATTAATATTTAGCTTAGTTATGATATTTGAAAATCTTTGATTTTGTTAAAAGGAATTAAAATATTAAAAACTCAATTTAATATATGTAGAATATTCTGCTTTGTATATTTGCTTATTTATTGCAATTATAATCCAGAATTAGAGTCATCAGCCTGCACGATTTTATTTAATTCACTTTCCCGAAACTCGCAACTTAAATATGATTCAGTAATCCCGCATTTGAGGTAATTTTTAATTGGCTAAAATCACACTCTGCCAAGCTAAAACCAACTAATTCGGTTTTGTCAACTTTTCGACACTCTTCGCCCCCACAAAAAATTCGCTTAAGCTCCGGTGAAAACGCACCGAGGAAATAGTTTTCCTCGAAAAAACCAGGAACACATACGGAAGCACCATTTCGGTTAATGAAGGCAAATTGAAATATTTACGACGGCACTTCTGGGGTCGAGGGGCGATAGTGTCGGAGCAGCCGAGCGGCGCTAGATTTCATTTGCATTCACTGGGAAAAAAAGCACGCCGCTTGGACACCTGTGAGTACAGGTGTGGAGGGCAGGTGCTCAAGAGGAACCTTAGTGCGACGAGGTGTGCAGCATTTTTGATTTATCACTGACAATGGCTCCATTTCCCGGACAAGTGAAATGCCTCGCGCAATCATTTGTCTCTGGAATTGTCTCAGTGTCTCTGGCCTCCCCTCGACCTCTGACAAATGATATTTAAATGCCCAGCGAGGATAATCCAGGAGCTGGTGTTGCCAGGGAGCAGCTACTTCAAACGTATCAAACATATCGTATATGCAAATCTTGTTAACCGAATTTTCGGCTCCTCATCGTCCCTCGCCTGCTGCGTTGGCTAAGCGAATTAACGAGTGTGTTATTGATACCGCCCATCCCCAGTGTCCCCTTTTCGAGCCCGAAATAAACAAGGCACACACAAGTTTGTGATGTACTCATATTTGTGAATTTTAAATGCACATTTCGGCATCGCAAATCAATCAGACATTTGGCAATTGTTGTCTACCCACTTCAGATCCGCTGACTCCTTGCCCGACTCCAGATGGAGAGGCTGTCGACTGTCGACTGTCGGCTGTCATAATTCCCCAGAAGTATCAAGCATTGCAACATATCCAGTTTAAGCCCATAAATTAAGCGACGCCTGAATAGTTGCCTCTTTATGGGACCCTTGAGTGGCGAATGTTGCCACATCACAGCTAGATGCAACCACTAAAAAAGACTAACAAACTGCACTCTGCAAAGTGCAGAACCATTAAACACTCGGATTTTTTATTCAAATTTCAAATTCAAAGGCAAATTCGCACTTTTTGAATGGAGCTCTGATTGCCCGCAACATCAAATTAAGTGAGTACGGTCGAATGTATGTTAATGCTCATTCGCGGTTGCAAAGTCCAAGTCTCATCATCAAATAGCCGCCGTCTTGGAGGTCAAGTTTTGTCATGAGTTGTCTGGGCAAGTTTTTGAATTTTTTCCCCATCCATTCCCCATTCCGTGGCTCACTCAAAAAGGTGAGAAGAAGAAGTGCTAATTTGCCACTGTTTGCCAGTTTGGAGGAATCCCTGATTGACGATGGCGTCGCATCTCTCCTGCAACCTGTTGCAGCTGGCCGGGTTTGACATGGCACTCAGCGGATCAGCAGAGTGCCATAGCAGGCTCGTGCTCATGGCGGAACCAAGAACCCAGAACTGAGAGCCCAGCAACGGCATCGTCACCGTATCCAAAAGCCATAATCATTTGCATCTCTAATGGTGCTGCTGCTGTGTCGTCGTCGCCGTACTCCGGACACCATACATCAACTGCCCCCCTAGCACGCCCACTCCAGCTCCAGCTCCAGCTCCAGCGGCAGCTCCTGCTCCTTGAACAAGTGTTAATGCCTGTAAACCTGGCTGCTGTTTGGGTTATGTGCCAACGTGGGTGGGTGGGGGTGAGTGGGTGCACTCGGAAAACCATTTGCTCTAGAGCCCTAAAATCTATAAATTTGAATACCTTTAAAATTGTTCTAGGACATTGAACTTTTTCATAGAGGTACTAAAGCTTGAAGGAGTGGGAAATGGGTAGAGTAAATTAGAGTTTATTACTTACAATTTAAGGAGTTTTATCTCCCTAGATAATACTTTCTTTAAAAGGCAAATTTATTTAAGAATACCTCAAAGAATGGGCAGTTTTTTAATATTTTTATATATTGTGTATAAATGCTATAATTTTGTATGAAATTAACATAAAACATAAATATAAACTATCTTTGGGAAGACGAAGTTTATATACGCTTTCAAAATTAATTTTTTAACCGAAGATGGCTATATTGGCTCAGCAGTTGATGCTGACCAATAATATATATGATTTTTAGGGTCGGAAACGACATCTTCATATCATTTAAAGCTTTTGACTGAAATTATATTATCCTGCAAGGGTATAAATATTTATAATCTTACCTTATCTTATCTTAATCTGAGACCATAATACCTTTTGCTCATAATAATAATTGAAGATAGTATAATTTATGCTTTAGAATATGTAGTTCTTTATTGCTTAACTTTTTCGCTAAATCTAAGATAGACGCTTTTCAAAAGTCCCAAATGTTGGTTTAATTTTTCTCTGAGTGTGGCACGTGGTTCCTGTTGCTATTGCCGTGGTCCATAATGCGGTTGGTTAACTTTTTACGCGCTTCTGCGGCGGATTTGCCCATAAATATCATGATGGTTAATTAGGAGGACACTTTGTCTGCAGCTTCGGCAAGGGGGGTAGAGGAAAAGGCCACGCAAAGGCAAGTCTACGGTTACTCTAAGTAAAATGAACGCGTTAATGTGATTAAAACTTGCAATAGATTGTCCTAGGCGGTGCCATCTCATAATTATCCTTTATTTCCTTGCAGATGGGCATTGCCTTGATGTTCCTTCTGGCCCTGTACCAGATGCAGTCGGCCATTCACAGCGAGATCATCGAGACGCCCTCGTACGGCGGCAATTCGCTGCTGGAAACGGATGGGGACAATGGTCTCAGCACGCCACAGGTACCGCAGGACAATGACCTTATGAATGCGGTTCTGAGCAGCGATCAGCCCGAGAAGGCAGAGCTGGAGTTCCGGCATCCCATCTCGGTGATCGGCATCGATTACACCAAGAATGCGGTGCTTCTGCGCTTCCGGAAGCCGCGCTACAAGTTCGATCCGGAGCTGGAGGCCAAGCGGCGGTCCTTGGCCGACAATTTCATGCACTTTGGGAAACGGCAAGCGGAGCAGCTGCCGCCCGAAGGCACTTATGATGCCTCCGATGAGCACGACAGTATGGAGAAGAGATCGAGCATGGATCGATATGGCAGGGATCCCAAGCAGGACTTTATGCGGTTCGGCAGGGATCCCAAGCAGGACTTTATGCGCTTTGGCAGAGATCCCAAGCAGGACTTTATGCGCTTTGGAAGGGATCCCAAACAGGACTTTATGCGCTTTGGGCGCAATCCCTCGGACTTCATGAGGTTCGGCCGAGATCCCAAGCAGGATTTCATGCGCTTCGGTCGATCTCCAGCTGAGGATTTCATGAGATTCGGACGACCGGACAACTTCATTCGCTTCGGACGCAATCCCCACGAGGAGCTGCGTAGTGTAAAGCAGGACTTTATGCGCTTCGGACGTCCCGATAACTTTATGCGGTTTGGACGCTCTGCTCCGCCACAGATGGACTCCAACTTTATTCGGTTCGGCAAGAGTGTAAAGGCCCCAGTTCCCGAATCCAAGGGGACCAAGTCGGGACAGCCAGGCGAAAGCAATTCCGTGGACAAGGCCGTGACAGAGCTGTTCAAGAAACAGGATCAGCAGGTGAAAAGCGGCGAACAGACTTCGACCTCGACGGATGAGGGCAGCACCGAGCAGGATCAGTTCTTTAGCCAGTGAACAAATGGGTCCTTCGAGACGGCGAATCCTTGTAAATAGAAAATATTGATTGACACCCGACACGAATCGTAACTGATATACGTATACTCCCTCCTCCCAAAACGAACTCCTGATATGTAGATTATGAATTTTTAATGGGGCTGGATTAAAAATTCACCACGCTTTGATCTAATCATACCAAAAAATGTATCTTTATCTATAAATATATGTATACTTAGCGTAAACCAAAATGCATTAAAAAAAACGGTGTGAAAAAACGTATTTTTTGCCAAGTTTCCAAATAAAGATTGCTCTATGGTAAGATGTTTTTTGTATTTTATTTTGAAATGAATGGGATTGGATTGGATAAAATGGATAACATTAGGCAATGGTAAGTTGGACTGGAGTTCTTCACTAGATTTAGTAGGTAAGTATTGGATATCGATTTAAGCAAATCAAACCTTATAATTTATTCTATGCATACATTCTATCTTCCTTAGTATATTGCCCTTCAAGCTGATCAATAGAAGAAGAAAACAATGCCTTTAAAAATGTAAAACGTCAGAAAAGTTAAAAAAGAAGAAAAGATCACTAAGAATAGCGAAAATTTGTATACCCTTGCATTTGCTAATTTAACCCAGGAATTGATATGGAAATCATTCATAACTAAGCCAAAAACGCATTAATTTTAGTTCGGAATGCATTCCTGTGTTAGTTTCTATCACGTTAATAAATCTGCATACTCAGTTTAACATTTAAAGAGGTTCAATTTTTATCGAATTTTTGGCAATTTTAATGATGTAACCCCTTATAAAATTTCTAAAATTTGGAAAATTCTGAAAAAAATAGATTTCGACCAGACATAGCTGGATCGACTCTCCTGTTAATGCTGATCAAGAATATATATGATTTATAGGGTCGAAAATGACTTCTTCGCAGCGTAACAAGCTTCAGAAACAAATTAGAATATCACTTTTTTGTCAATATTTATTTATATTATCATACCACAATTTGATCGACCAAAGCTTAAAAAATTCATAACTAAGCCAAAAATGCATTAATTTTAATTCGGAAGGCTTTCCTGTGTTATATTTTAGCAGAGTAATAAAACTGCATACTCGGAAATTACTTCTTCGCAGCGTAACAAGCTTCAGAAACAAATTAGAATACCATTTTTTTTGTCAATATTTATTTATATTATCATACCACAATTTGATCGACCAAAGCTTAAAAAATTCATAACTAAGCCAAAAATGCATTAATTTTAATTCGGAAGGCTTTCCTGTGTTATATTTTAGCAGAGTAATAAAACTGCATACTCGGGAATGACTTCTTCGCAGCGTAACAAGCTTCAGAAATAAATTAGAATACCACTTTTTTGTTAATATTTATTTATATTATCATACCACAATTTTATCGACCAAAGCTTAAAAAATTCATAACTAAGCCAAAAACGTATTAATTTTAATTCGGAATGCATTCCTATGTTATATTTTAGCAGAGTAATAAAACTGCATACTCGGAAATTACTTCTTCGCAGCGTAACAAGCTTCAGAAACAAATTAGAATACCATTTTTTTTGTCAATATTTATTTATATTATCATACCACAATTTGATCGACCAAAGCTTAAAAAATTCATAACTAAGCCAAAAATGCATTAATTTTAATTCGGAAGGCTTTCCTGTGTTATATTTTAGCAGAGTAATAAAACTGCATACTCGGAAATGACTTCTTCGCAGCGTAACAAGCTACAGAAACAAATTAGAATACCACTTTTTTGTTAATATTTATTTATATTATCATACCACAATTTTATCGACCAAAGCTTAAAAAATTCATAACTAAGCCAAAAACGTATTAATTTTAATTCGGAAGGCTTTCCTGTGTTATATTTTAGCAGAGTAATAAAACTGCATACTCGGAAATTACTTCTTCGCAGCGTAACAAGCTTCAGAAACAAATTAGAATACCATTTTTTTTGTCAATATTTATTTATATTATCATACCACAATTTGATCGACCAAAGCTTAAAAAATTCATAACTAAGCCAAAAATGCATTAATTTTAATTCGGAAGGCTTTCCTGTGTTATATTTTAGCAGAGTAATAAAACTGCATACTCGGAAATTACTTCTTCGCAGCGTAACAAGCTTCAGAAACAAATTAGAATACCACTTTTTTGTCAATATTTATTTATATTATCATACCACAATTTGATCGACCGAAGCTTAAAAAATTCATAACTAAGCCAAAAACGTATTAATTTTAATTCGGAATGCATTCCTATGTTAGTTTCTATGACGTTAATAAATATGCATACTCAGTTTAACATTTAAAGAGGTTAAATTTTAATCGAAATTTGGCGATTTTAATGATGTAACCCCTTATAAAATTTCTAAAATTTGGAAAATTCTGAAAAAAATAGATTTCGACCAGACATAGCTGGATCGACTCTCCTGTTAATGCTGATCAAGACTATATATGATTTATATGGTCGGAAATGACTTCTTGGCAGCGTAAAAAGCTTCAGAAACAAATTAGAATACCACTTTTTTGTCAATATTTATTTATATTATCATACCACAATTTGATCGACCAAAGCTTAAAAAATTCATAACTAAGCCAAAAATGCATTAATTTTAATTCGGAAGGCTTTCCTGTGTTATATTTTAGCAGAGTAATAAAACTGCATACTCGGTAATGACTTCTTCGCAGCGTAACAAGCTTCAGAAATAAATTAGAATACCACTTTTTTGTTAATATTTATTTATATTATCATACCACAATTTTATCGACCAAAGCTTAAAAAATTCATAACTAAGCCAAAAATGCATTAATTTTAATTCGAAAGGCTTTCCTGTGTTATATTTTAGCAGATAAATAAAATTGCATACTCGGAAATGACTTCTTCGCAGCGTAACAAGCTTCAGAAACAAATTAGAATACCACTTTTTTGTCAATATTTATTTATATTATCATACCACAATTTGATCGACCAAAGCTTAAAAAATTCATAACTAAGCCAAAAAAGTATTAATTTTAATTCGGAATGCATTCCTATGTTAGTTTCTATCACGTTAATAAATCTGCATACTCAGTTTAACATTTAAAGAGGTTCAATTTTTCTCGAATTTTTGGCAATTTTAATGATGTAACCCCTTATAAAATTTCTAAAATTTGGAAAATTCTGAAAAAAATAGACTTCGACCAGACATAGCTGGATCGACTCTCCTGTTAATGCTGATCAAGAATATATATGATTTATAGGGTCGAAAATGACTTCTTCGCAGCGTAACAAGCTTCAGAAACAAATTAGAATACCACTTTTTTGTCAATATTTATTTATATTATCATACCACAATTTGATCGACCAAAGCTTAAAAAATAAAAAACTAAGCCAAAAATGCATTAATTTTAATTCGGAAGGCTTTCCTGTGTTATATTTTAGCAGATAAATAAAATTGCATACTCGGAAATGACTTCTTCGCAGCGTAACAAGCTTCAGAAACAAATTAGAAAACCACTTTTTTGTCAATATTTATTTATATTATCATACCACAATTTGATCGACCGAAGCTTAAAAAATTCATAACTAAGCCAAAAATGCATTAATTTTAATTCGGAATGCATTCCTATGTTAGTTTCTATCACGTTAATAAATCTGCATACTCAGTTTAACATTTAAAGAGGTTCAATTTTTATCGAATTTTTGGCAATTTTAATGATGTAACCCCTTATAAAATTTCTAAAATTTGGAAAATTCTGAAAAAAATAGATTTCGACCAGACATAGCTGGATCGACTCTCCTGTTAATGCTGATCAAGAATATATATGATTTATAGGGTCGAAAATTACTTCTTCGCAGCGTAACAAGCTTCAGAAACAAATTAGAATACCACTTTTTTGTCAATATTTATTTATATTATCATACCACAATTTGATCGACCAAAGCTTAAAAAATAAAAACTAAGCCAAAAATGCATTAATTTTAATTCGGAAGGCTTTCCTGTGTTATATTTTAGCAGATAAATAAAATTGCATACTCGGAAATGACTTCTTCGCAGCGTAACAAGCTTCAGAAACAAATTAGAAAACCACTTTTTTGTCAATATTTATTTATATTATCATACCACAATTTGATCGACCGAAGCTTAAAAAATTCATAACTAAGCCAAAAATGCATTAATTTTAATTCAGAAGGCTTTCCTGTGTTATATTTTAGCAGAGTAATGAAACTGCATACTCGGAAATGACTTCTTCGCAGCGTAACAAGCTTCAGAAACAAATTAGAATACCATTTTTTGTCAATATTTATTTATATTATCATACCACAATTTGATCGACCAAAGCTTAAAAAATTCATAACTAAGCCAAAAATGCATTAATTTTAATTCGGAAGGCTTTCCTGTGTTATATTTTAGCAGATAAATAAAATTGCATACTCGGAAATGACTTCTTCGCAGCGTAACAAGCTTCAGAAACAAATTAGAAAACCACTTTTTTGTCAATATTTATTTATATTATCATACCACAATTTGATCGACCGAAGCTTAAAAAATTCATAACTAAGCCAAAAATGCATTAATTTTAATTCGGAATGCATTCCTATGTTAGTTTCTATCACGTTAATAAATCTGCATACTCAGTTTAACATTTAAAGAGGTTCAATTTTTATCGAATTTTTGGCAATTTTAATGATGTAACCCCTTATAAAATTTCTAAAATTTGGAAAATTCTGAAAAAAATAGATTTCGACCAGACATAGCTGGATCGACTCTCCTGTTAATGCTGATCAAGAATATATATGATTTATAGGGTCGAAAATGACTTCTTCGCAGCGTAACAAGCTTCAGAAACAAATTAGAATACCACTTTTTTGTCAATATTTATTTATATTATCATACCACAATTTGATCGACCAAAGCTTAAAAAATAAAAACTAAGCCAAAAATGCATTAATTTTAATTCGGAAGGCTTTCCTGTGTTATATTTTAGCAGATAAATAAAATTGCATACTCGGAAATGACTTCTTCGCAGCGTAACAAGCTTCAGAAACAAATTAGAAAACCACTTTTTTGTCAATATTTATTTATATTATCATACCACAATTTGATCGACCGAAGCTTAAAAAATTCATAACTAAGCCAAAAATGCATTAATTTTAATTCAGAAGGCTTTCCTGTGTTATATTTTAGCAGAGTAATGAAACTGCATACTCGGAAATGACTTCTTCGCAGCG